GTATAATACAGCTACTTCTAAAATCTACAAAAAGCAAAAAATCAAAAAATCCATAGGCATCATTGAGACATACAGAATTGTGAACAATATTGGAAATTACAATGATAATAATTAATGACAAAAAAAAAGACTTTTTTTATGTGGATAGTGGAGAGCTCAGTAGCGACCTGAAGGCTTTTGTCAGAAATAAGCTTTTTGAATTTGGAATTCGTAGTGGATACATAACCATATAGAAGCCTTAACAAAAGGGCATCTTTGTGGAGTAAACACAGCAAAATTTACCATATAGAGCAAGAAAATAAAGCTGTTTCTCTTAAGTACACTGATATTAATATTGCCCTGGAACCCGTTTCTGCTTTTCAGCATGCTTAAAAGTTCTTCAGTCTTGGCAGTCCTAGCACAGGGCTGACACATTGTCATGGCCAAAAAGATCTGTTGCTGTCCTGCAAAGCTCAGTCCGCAGGCATTCTCACGCTATCCCTTTGGCTGAGCAAAAGTACTGACCGAAAAAACCTCTAAATCCAAGTATCCAACTCACTAGTACTGTTCTCCTATGTTCTCGCCCAATCTTTGGTTGTTTTCTGCAGAGCTCAACAGGTTTAATGAGAAGGAAAGAGCAGAGCCTTATTTCTCCCTTTGTAATGGCTTGTATTCTGGTAATTGCAGCACTTTGAGAGCAGGAAGTGCATCTGTCGTCCATCAGGCAGGATAACGGAGACCCAACTTCCACTTGTTTGCTGCCCACCTAACCATTAGATGGATTTATTAGCATGTGCTGTCTTTATTTTTGCTTTTAGGGTTTTTTTCCTCAACACTGTCTTTTAGATCCTACCCTTAACTCCTCTGTTCTTACTGTGTAGGATCTAAAATGACCAGCCAGCTACATAACATGCAGCTCTTCCCAGCTATCTGATGATGAACATTGGTGCCAGATATAGTGTTTTGGCCTCCTTTCTTCAGGCTTGACTAATGTACCCAAGTTGGTGATGTAATTTTCAGTGAATCTTAATCTACATTCTTTTTTTTTTTTAACCTGATTGAACATTGCTTCTTTTTCTACAAATATGAGGTGGTATGACAACAGGAATAAGCGAGGATAAATGTATTTAAGACTTTTCTGTATTTGGTCCTCATGATACCAGGTACAGAGGACAATACCAGCTGGAATGAGCAGAAAAAATGAGCAGATCAGTTCTGCTTTTACCTGAAGTCATAGTCATAGTTTAGGTGTAAAACTGATGAATCGTTTTGTTGTTCTGTGAGTATTTGAAGGAAAAGTTTCAGATGTTATGTTCAATATTATTCATTAAATGGAAAAAAAGGTATTAGCAAGCAAATCTCTAATTAAAATATGCATACTGAAAAATATGGCAGAAGATAATATTTACTGTTCAGAGGTAAAGTCTCTTAAAATCAGCAAAAATTTGTCTGGAGTTTGCATACAAAAAACAGACTCATTAATTGAAATGTTAGTGCTTGCTCACCATTTGAATTAAGACAACTTATTAATTTTTTCTATTTTTATAAGGAGAACAAGATTATTTGAATTATTTTGCATTATTTCAGACTTAATTTTACCTTCTTGGTAAGTTATAGGAACATTTATTTAGAAGTTGTTCAAGTAAAACCATATTGATATTTGTATTAAAGGTGTACTGAACTATCTACTTGTTTACTGCATGAATTACTTCTTTTTGGGTTTTGCATTTTGGTTTATGTTGTGAAGGTCCCATATACCTTCAGTGAATCACTCTCCCTTTCCTTATTGTTGGCACCTTGAAATAATTTAAAGGTTGTGGTCAGGAAACCTTGAGTCTTTTCATTTCATGTCTGTATTATGAAAATTTATCTTCCTTCAATCATTTTTAGAATTCTTGAGTCATTTTGGCTGTCATTCTTATTTATTCAGTTTTTACATTTCCTTCCTAGATGTACCATATGACTGTTTATCTGGCAACATTTATCTTATCGAAACCTCTAAAACTCATGTTCTTTCAAAAATCTATAGTTCGATTTGTCCATTTCTAAAGTAAAGGTTTAAATAGAAAAGTATATAGTACATTTCTAAAGCTCTGGTTCTAAAAAAGCGGATATAAGTTCTTGACAAAGGATAGGAAGTGGAGTAGCATTTTCTGATTGCATTTGGTCTCAGCAATATCCCATTACTACCACTGTGTACCATAAAAGGCTTTTCTGACATGGCATTCTGAATGCTATAATAAAACAAAATTGCACAAGCAGTTTTTTGTGATACAACTGCGTACCTTGTCTGTCTAAGACAAGAAGGATACCACTGCTTCCTATCACACCAAAATTCTATCAGGAAGTGAGAAGAGTATCTGTGGGGTTTTTCTAAATAAAAGCTTCCTTTCATGCTGATTTCATATCTTGTAATTAAATGTTTAGCCAGTTTTTAAGACCGTATATACACTTTTCTTTTTTTTTTTTTTTTTTAATATCTGAAAATACAATACATGGCTCTATTGCTATGTCCTAATGCAGAAAACAAAACAAAATGAGTTAGAAGCTATGACCTCAGTAGATTGGAAAAAGTACAGTGTTGGGAAGAAGTGTTCTAAAAGATACAATAAAAAGACAAGAAGGAAAAGAAAAAGCAAAGAAAGGTCAAGAAAAGAGAGAAAAAAGGAAATTCTAGTATTATGTTTAGAATAAAAGCTGTTTCACAGACACATAAACCAGGACTCTGTGCTTATTTACAGCCCTTCCCATCTCCTGTGATACCACTTTTGACCAGCCTGTGGTGGACTCAGCTGGCAACACCGTGAGCAGCTGCCCAGCACCTTGCAAAATTTGCACAGGAACCAAATGCAACAGCAGCCACTAGGCTATCCTGACAAGGATTGCCAGGGTCACTCCTAAGAGGAAATGGATTGATACAGAGGTAAAAGATAGTTAGCAAAACTTGGCCAGATCAAACTCTAGAAGCAGAACTGTGGTATCAGCACAAAACTGCATGATGACAAAATAGATTTCCCATTTTGCACAATATTTTCACGGTTATGATCAAGGAACTATTCTGAGTTCAAATCCTTTCTGGGTTTGTTAGAGCTTTTCTTTTCCTTGACTCTGGACCCAGGCCAACTTCAACAGACCATGCAGATCTCATTATCTTCTGACTTTTCAGGGGAGAGGGACATGATGAGATTTTTGCCCATGGGAAGACGCTGTGTATTTTCCTATGTGTCAGATTTCTCTCTGGTTAATTCAGGCTATGTGGATAAAGGTAGGTGTGTGGAGTCATTGGTTTTCATTTTTTTAGTTTTTTTTCTGTTCCTGTAGTTATCAAAATAAAACAAGGCAAAGTGTAGATGTTATGAATAACAATAAAAAAAAAGCATTGGTTCAAGGTGATACTTATTGTATGCTTTATAATAATAAGCAGCATCTAACACTCTATTTGATTCAAGGGATAAGAGCTATACAAAGTAATTGTTCCTAGAGAGTCACTTCACAAAGTGGATTTTCTGAAAACATCTGTATCACAATTAAGTTTTTCTCCTGTTTCATTATGTTGAATTTTAGCTTCAGATGATCCAATATTAATCTTCCATTTTTTAGTACAAATGTATTTAGCTAAAAAAAAATTAAAATTCAGAAACATACATAATTACTGTGTATGTGAAAGTTTCTTACTCTCCTCAGCATCTATGAGACCTAATGCCAAATCAGGCAAATGCAGTGGCTGAATAAAATGTGATGTGTGGCTATACAACTTGTAAGATCCTTGTCAGAAATAAAGGATTAGAAAAGAAGCTTCTTGGCTGATACTAACCCTTAATATTAAATACTTTTTTCGGCTCAGTGAAGAATTTTCAAATACTATAAATTTGAAATATAAGAAATCTGAATTGAAATATTAGGGACTACTTCTAAACTAACAATTAAGTTTCTGAAAAATGCATGATGCATCTTTATATTTGATTAATTAATATTTAAGCCTGTAACAGAACATTAGTATCACATTTTTGTGATTTTGTTTAAAACCAGGAGAATTAGAAGTACACTTTACTAAAACAAAACCAAACAAACCAAACAAACCCCCAAACACAAAAGAAAACAGAAGAAAAACCCAAATAATGTAAAAGTCACATGGAATCACTACTCTTTAAGAAATGAAGCTTGAAACCTCCAAAACTAAGTTATCATTTACCTTTCTATATAATCACAATATGACAATGCTCTATGGAATCCTTAGTGCTGTATATTGTTTTTATGCTACAGATACTTCTATGCTGCAAAATACCTCCCTCTTTTTTGTATGCTTTCCATCTAATTGCTGTAAGATCAATAGAATTCCCATACTGCTCTCCATCCCACTGAGTGGGGTGTAAGCAAGCTCTCTTTAGGGCCTAACTCGGGACTTCTCAGGAAATCCATGACCATCTGTATTTTCCAGTGCATTTTTTTAATCTCTCATCTCTTGTTGAAAGTAAGTGAGGCATCAGACCTCTGATATTCTTCAATCTTTTTAAAACTTTAACACCAGTAAAATAGAAAAAACATTGAGTGAAGAGACATCCTTATATGTCACATATTTTTGCCTATCACACCTGTGAAAGCAATTAAACAAACTTCTAATGAAGGTTAAACCCTTGGTCCTACCTCCTTCGTGATCTGTACTTTATCTTGCATCTTTCTTGGATGGAATATGCGTGCACTTACAGCTTTGTTCTCCTTGGAGAGGCTTGGGGGAACCTCATCAAAGTCTACTGCTTTAAAGGTGACTACAGAAAGGTTGGAGGCTCTTTCTTCAAGGAGTCACATGGAGAAAACAAGGGACAACAGGTCAAAGTTGCACAAGGAGAAGTTTTATCTCGACAGAAGAAATGCATTTTTTACAATTGTTCTCTAGAACACTGTGCCCAGGAATGTGGTAGAGGCCCCATCACTGGAGGTTTTCAAGATGCAATTGGACAGGGTCCTAGATAATTTTATCTGGAATCCCTGTCCCACAAAAGGACCAGATGATCTTTCAAGGTCCTAGGCTCTTCTATGATTCCGTAAGGTATGCCTTCTGGATGAAATATATTCATTCTGTGACACAGAAAAAATACATTAAAACTTTTAGTTAATTTTTCAACTATTTAAAACTAATATACGTAGAAATTTGTCATATTGAAAATATAGTCTGAGAGTAAGATCATTAATCATTGAACAGGCAATGGCTTTTCTGAAGTCATATCCTTACATTCATTTCACAGCCAAGCAGAGGCATATTCTTGTTTCTTTCCTTGGGCAAAATTCTGCTAGGTATTGAGTATCCTTAGATGCTACCTAGAATTTTCAGTTCTTACCGAGGAGGTTGAAGGTGCTCTTCATTTCACAGGATTAGATGCTATCTGAATTAGTAGTATTTCTTCCTCGTTGTCACTCTCTTTTTCCTCAAAATACTTATTTTCTTTTACAGAATCAGATTAAGGCAGAGCAGTCAATTGCGCAAGCCATACAAACTGAAGATTATATTCAGAGGAGTTAATCATTCATAAGGGCGTTGGGCTTTTTTCTTGCAACTACCACAGGTCAGCATCTCACAATAACTGCATGATAAAATTTTACCCTGATTTTTTTGTCAGTACAAGTTTATGATGAATACAGATAATTTTAAAGATATTCATAGAAAAATTCTCAGCTGCTATGTAACAGGCTTTATCTTAATCTCAGCTCATTTAGACTGCTTGTGGCTGACATAGAAATGTAACCGACATTATAGAAACTTAGTACTTTGGAGATAGTACACAATAGGACTTTTCTGTACCACACGAATAAAAATAATACATTGCTCTATTATTTTTGAGAAAATATATTGTTTCTGAGCAACAAACAGAACTGGATGAAACAGGATTTGTTTCAGCTATGCTAAAACTCCCTTTATTGGAAACAAGAATTCAAATAAAACTGAAAGAAGCAAGTTTGTACTGGATGAGTAACATATTTTAAAACTTATTTGATCTTAAGCATTCAAGAGAATTTGTCGTGCAAAATCTGTAAGTTTTACTCAACGTAAATCTTGTTTCTGAAAAAAGAGGTATATCATTTATGTATTCATATATTTGATGTTCAGGCATGTGCTTGCCTGCATTTTTATATCAAGGCTTTGAATGATACCCATACAATTGGTACTTAGATACGTGTTAGTTAATACTGAGCTCTATTTTAAGGTAGAAACCCGGAGGATAGGGAAAGTATTAGGTTTGCCATTATGTAAACAACAAGATTCTGTGAAAAGTGCTGAGGGGTGTCAGGATTTCTATGAAAGTGTTTTATATAAACATACAAGGCTGATCCTTTCAATATGATTTCAGCATCATATCTCTTTCTGTAGCTGTCTTTCACTGAGTGGAAGGAAATGCTAGGAAATAAGCGTACTGAAATTTGCATTATGTGCTAGTGTTACCATTTTTAAAACTGTTGCAAAGAGAATATGTAACACATTCTAATTATTTTGCTTTTCTCTTTATGAAAAAAATACAGAAGAGTGGGTTCCACCTACATAGAAGATCTTTAGCCTCTAAGGTTCCATGTACCTTTGCCACAACTCAGCAAAGAATTTTTCTAGTACTGGAACTTCTGTGTTGTGTTAAAAGCCAGGAAGAAGTGTATGTCCTCCATTGGATGAAGCTCAGGCTGCATCTAGGTTTTCTGAAGGGTGTGTCACAAAGACCAAGTCATTTGACATTCAGGAAGCCTGTCATCTGAAGGGGATAACCCAAAATTCCGCAGCCACACCCACCACCCTGATCTTGTAAATGCAGCAGAGTTGCAGGGCTGGAGGAACACACTGTTCCAGGGCCAAGGGACTGTCCAAAGGCATTATGGAGAAGAACAGACTTTGAAGACCCAAGAAGGTGAAAAATGGTAACAATCTCTTTAAAAGTGACATAAGAAACCCTCCTCTTGAAAATCTGTCCCTCAAAATCTGAGCTGATGTAACAGGAATTTCAGAACTACTGAAGACAATTTCTGCAATCACTGAGGCTTATTACCATTTAGGAGGGAAGGAAAAAGAAGGAAAAACTGAACAGAGTTTTAGTATTTTATGGATTGCCACCAGATTAGCTTTTGGGTTGAAGCTATTCTTCCCCTCCATTGAAATTATTTTTCTCTTTTCAGAGAATATGTCATAAGACAAATCAGCTAGCATATGATTGGTTTGCTTGTTTAGAAACCAAAAGTAATATCTCTTTAATGTGAGAGGACTGTGAAGTCTTAGTGATCAGTGGAACCTCTAAAGTTTGCAGGACTGAGATCAAGTTTGGTGGAAAAGATTATCCTGCAAGGATACAGTTCCCAGTACTAAGATTTCTTTTAATTTGTTCTATTCAATCCTGCTCACAGAGTTTATCTGAGGTTTCCTTTCTTAAGGGGTTTCTCTACTCTAATGTATTATTTTGTGTTCCAGTAAAATGTAGCCTTACAGATAAGACACTTCTGGTTTAGTGCACTCCCTTAAAAAAAAAAAAAAAAAAAAGAGAGATGAAGCGGTTCCAAAGCTCTAGATATCACTGGTACATAATAAGGTAAAGCTTGAGCTACTGTACTTAAATTGTATGGAATGGAGATTGGAAATTAAAAAAAAAAAAGCCTTTGTTAATTTATACCAGTGAAAAGCCTATAAAATAATTGGTTCATATGCACATACTTAGAATGTTAAAGTTGCTGATAAAATTGTGTTTTCATTACCATAATACTTGTATTCTCTCAAATGTCCTTGAAACCTGTGTGTACTGTCAGCTGCCTTTGTCAGACTTTTTTTCTTTGGTGTCTGTGAGGATTTGAAAGTGGAAATTAATAAAAGCTTACACATAATATTTTCCATCGGGCTACTCAATATGTTTAAGTGGCACGATGGGATAACATCCATTTTTCTAAAGCTGTTCATTAAATAACTCAATTTGATTTAAACACACAGTGTATTTTTTTTAAACTAGTCATAATTTCTCTCCTTGACTATATAACCTCACTACATTAAGAGACTCTGCCTCATGTAATTCAATTGTCTCTCTGCTTCCAGTAAGAGGACAACATGAAAACGTGATTGTATTCTGATGTCAGGGTCCATGAAGTTAGAAAGTTACACTCTTTAGAGATTTATCTCTAGTAAAACTGTCAATTTTAAATATCTGAGGGATTTCTATACTGTTTTTACTTAAAGGAAAACAAGCAGCTATTTAGAAAGTGAAAATTTCCTGTGTTACATATTATGTTGTTTGATTAACTTAAGATAAAGTAATGTCAAAAAAGGGCAGATTAATCAATGGTTAAAATGTAACACATTTTCAAAACTGGAGCCTCAGTTAGGCATTTTTACGCCTTTTATGAATAGGTCATTTCTCAGTATTGTATAGTAATTAATTTGATTCATAGCTTTATATAAAACATGTGCATGTCATAAGATATGCTGACTTAAGAGTCTGTGTGTCCATGTGAATATACTCATCAACATATTTACTAATGTCAGGTCTTGTTTCAGAGTAGCTCTTGTATTTCCTCCATTTCTTCCAATGTTCAGGAATGTTCCATTTTTGGGAATGAGGTGAACCATCCGTCCTGTTAACTGTGTCTCTTCAAATAGGATGGTCACTTCTGGACAATTCTGGCAGAAGTATCCCACTGTCATTTCCTAGAGGAATGTCCTCGAATATGAGGTTGTTTTATAACGCTATGAGTAGTTGCTAGAATGAAGGACAGTGTGAAAGGATAGATGTACAAACATAATGAAGGTCTTCCATCTAGAAATATTTATTCTGTCTCTTCAATAATAACAGTTAGAAGTTCTCTGAAGTCTAGTGTCTGAAAACAGCTATGTGGTTTTTTTTATTTCAATTGTAATATTGAAATCAGGTACTAGTCAAAGTGAATAAGGGCATAGGCTGGGCATAGGCAGTGATATGCATTAAAATTTTGAATAAAATATCATTTCTCATAGAAGACTCCATCACATCACACTTAAAAAAAGCTGACACGTGGCAGATAAGATGGAGCAGGTTCTGACCATCTCAAAGTTCAATAAGTAAGCCTCACAACGCCTGAAAGAAGGTACTTTGTTTAAACTTAGTGGCTCAGAACACTCAGACTCATGGTCTTCCTGGGCTTGGTCAACAGAGAGGGAAGCACCTCTGAGGAACAACTCAGAGATCCTAACTCTCGTTGACTGTATGCCTCTGTAGGGTTACTTATTATAAGTTATTAGGAAATATGTGCTCTCAGCTACACACTGACTGGAAAGACAACTGATGAAAGACCCTAGGCTTTACCCTCTCATCCGTGTGGGATTCAGGACTCCTTAATCTCTTCTGACAGGCAGCCTCAGCTACCTCCAGAGGTACGGTGGGCTACCATCGGATCTGGCTGCATGATAATTTTTATGTTCATTTGAGAAATAAGAACTGTTGAATTTCAGGTCAAGAAATGTTTCAAATTCAGCTTTAGATTTTAATGAGGGGAGATGTGATGGGTGAAGTGGTGGGGAGGGGGAGGAATAGTTGTATTCAGACTTCATTTTTCCAGTATACCACTCTCTACATCTTACTAGGATAGCCAGGGAAAATCTCCTTCTCCTGCAGTTGTGCACATAAGGATGCAGAGTTATATAGCTCAGGAGAGCAAGGCAGAAAGGATGTGATTCGGTAAACTACTGATTAGGATTCCAGTTTCTTTACTTCAGTCACGTATGATCTATTTTTATTAAATACAATATGTTTAATTAATTCTCAGACTCCAGAATGAGTACTCACAGGGGTGGTCCTTCCCTCACACATCTAGAATGAGGCCTTCTCTTACATTTTATCTCTTTCACCCTCTGTCTTTGGCCTAATAATTTTATGCGCTTCTTTTTTTGTTATCCTATAGCAGCTTCCTGGATCTTTAGGGGGGTGGTTTAGGGGTTTTGCCTAATTTTTTTTCTTTTTCCTGCAAATTTGAGGGAAAAATAGGCCTTTGTGACGTTTAAGAAGTTATGGTTTTCTTTTAGATTTGCCAATCAAATTTTAGTTGAGATACTGTTGAAATCTGTCTGGGGAAAAAACAACAAACAG